TGAAGATGGGGTATATCGATACAGTACATGTCTGAAATAAGCAGTTTGGTAGTAGTAATATTTGGAATGGGGGTGGCTGGGGGGGGGGGGGGTTCTCCCTGTTGCCTAGTTTTCCCTCAGCTGGGTACTGCCTGCAGGCCCTGAATAGGTCCAAGTTATGGTGTAAATCTGGTACTTGGGTTTAAGTATAATTAAGATTGAGGACATGTTTGTATGACCCCATCCACGCGGGACGTTTTCATCCTGCCTAGGTGAGTTTTCCGTCTAGGTGGGATAGCATGTTTATATGGTTACAAAATACATTGCCGAGTTGAAGCCGTTTACTGTAGGTGCTTGACGTCATATTTTTTTCACAAAAGACATTTATGCATGCTTGAGTAAAGTTCATCCCGCCTAGCCTTTTTTCTTTGTGGTACAAATAAATTGTTGTCGTTGTTGTTGTTTAATTGTTGTCTAGCCGGGATGAAGTGCTTATATGGGAATTGATCTGCTGATGCCGAAGACAGAGGCAAGTAATTGATCTGCGAGCCAGTCTGACAAATCGCAATATTTTGCGATAACCTAGTTCAATAATTGTTTTACCATTTACTTATTCATTTCAGAAATTTTTTGGCCGCCAGTAAGTGCAACAAATCTGTACAATAACAATATCTGAGAATTATATTGTGTATTATAATTTTATATACTGTATACACAATAATTAAATTGCTTTTCAAAAATCTTAAATCCGAATGTGTAAATCGATATTTTGCAATTGAGAATTGATTTCAAAAGTGTGCAAGCTCAGACCATTATTTGCACCAGTTATTTGCAGCTGATATGTTATTCTCCCCAGTTATTTGTAGGAAAATTAGCCAATCGATGTTGAGAAAATGAATTAAGTAAATGATAATTGTAGAAACTGTAGAAACTTACTGTATTCATGCATTAACATTTAAATATATGCCTATACATTGATAACATCTTTGAATATGGCTAATATACAGTATATTGAATTTATGTTGATTTGTGAATTTGGGTCATCATGCATTAACATGAAATTCCTCCAATGCACGTAGAGTCAGGCGTAAAAAAAAATACTTGTGGTTCCGGTTCCCGACCGACCCTATTTTTTTCTGCCGACCCTATTATTTTTTCAACGTGATGGACTGTGCGACCCTATTTTCTTCAGGTGGTTGCGGGCCGGTCATATAGCGTGCCAAAATGGCATCTGTTGCCACACTAATTATTGAACCAAATTGCCTAATTCGTTAATATTGATGTTGGGATTCTACTGCAAATCGCCCAACAAAAAACCGCCAAAACCATGAAAGAAATATTAAAAAAAAATTTATTTCCGACCTACCGACCCTAATTTTTTCCCGATATGAAACCGGAACCACAGGTATTTTTTTTACGCCTCATGATGTAACTTTTAGTGATATTTTGCAGTGTTGATTACGGTACCGATATTGCATGGGTCTGAACTAGAACTGAACAACCAATTAAACTTGAACAGAAAAGGGTAAAATGATAAAGTAGGGCACTTTGGGAATGAATTATTGGTGCAGTATAAGTTACCTTTGGCATGCCCAACATACAATATCATTAATTAATAACAATATGGAATTTCCCCAAGGTATACATACCAGTACCTGTACTTACTGTAAGACATCATATAAGTGATATAACTTAAAAATTGCTCTTGCAGTGCAGATTATAATCTAGCCTAAAAAAATACCTGTGGTTCCGGTTCCCAACTGACCTTATTTTTTTCTGCCAACCCTATTATTTTTTCAATGCGATTGACCATGCGACCCTATTTTCTCTTGGTGGTTACGGCCAAAATGGCGTCTGTTGCCACACTAATTATTGAACCAAATTGCCTAAATTTGTCCATAGGAAAGACGCATCTCTAGTTAATATTGATGTTGAGACTACTGCAAATCGCCAGCAAAAAACCAAAACTATGAAAAAAATATTTAAATAAAAAATTTATTTCCGACCTACCGACCCTGATTTTTTCACTCGATATGAAACCGGAACCACAGGTATTTTTTTAGGCCTCTCACATAGATCTGACAAATGTCTGAGCACTTGCTTAGTGCTCAAGTGTAATTGCTTGTAGCTTTTCAATATTTACATATTTGATTGGTTGTTTATTAAAACTTTATTTACACCTGGAGTCGATTTCACAAAATGTGCTGTTCCATGGAGCTGTGCACACATGAAATATCTACAACTATCAGGGGTGGAAAAAGTATCGGACCACAGGACCATTGGTCCCAGAAAATTTTTTGAGTTCCCAGAAAATATTTCCCCAAGAAAGAAAAAAAAGATAATTGTAAAAATTTAATAGGTAAAAGGAGAAATTCAGAAAAAAATTTTTTAAAAATTCTAATCAACAGAAAGAATGTTACCTGTACTGTAGGTATGACCTCAGAAATGCAATTATGAGTGTATCCATCTTAATAGTGCAATAGTGTGTAAATGTATAGTGCACAATAGTAAATGGTTTTATGAATTTTTTTTCATTTTCTGGTTTCTATTACATTTACACTATTTTACAGCCCTGTCCGGGCTGTCACCTAGCAACTGCGACTCTGCAACAGCTCATTTCCAGGTAATATATAGATTTACATTCGACTTGTGTGTCACTCCTGTTATCTGCCGAAGACAGGAGTTGCTACAATATTTATTACAAGAAATCCTGGTTTCTGGTTGGATAGTTAGCCCTGTGCATGCTCAAAACAGCTGTTTTCCAAAGTTGAACTCCTGTTGTCTCAATTTGCATATCTTTTCTAGCATCTTTCTGTGATATAAAGTATGAGCATATTATTTACCGCCAGTTCATGAGTTGTTTGTTTGCTTTATGCCTTGAAACAGGAGCGCTTATATCGAGTTAAAAAAATTATATACCAATTTAGACTTACAAAGTGTGTCAGTGTATGTAGATATTTGGCTGCGTTTTATAACCTATGCTATATACTACAGCAGTTTTATTAGTACCGTAGTCACGTAGCATACAGATTTGCACCCAGAGTGCCAAGCGTAATGGTCTGTGGTCCGTAGTTGATACCGGTAATGCCATTATAGATAAAAGGATGCTAGGCGTAGCTTTATAGTGTAAACAACACTACAGCACTGCACCATTATCAGTTAGAATCCGAGTTTGTTAGAGCACTGCACAAGAATCACAGGGCCATAGTTGCATTTTTGCAACTGTTCCTGGTTAGGTTTAATAAATGTATATAAATTTCCACTCAATAATTCCCATCTACAAGACCCTTCAACTATTATTCAATTGAGTGAGATCACTACAACAATTGAATTTTCAAGAAAAAAACGCCTCGAAAAAGTGCTAAAATCAATGTCAATATTTTATGCAAAAAAGTTGTTTTTTGAGTTCATGTGTATTAATAAAAACATATGTCAGCAGAAGATGACATATTCCTCGCGGAAGCATTGCTAATAGCAGACTGTAGAAAATAGTAGAAACTACCTTATGTGTACTATAAGAACAAAATATCGATAACTATGTGTGACATTTCTAGGGGGGGGGGGGGGGGGTAGTCTCCAGAGAAACGTCCATATGACGTTTCGCATTGACAAAATCGATGTGAGGATTCCCTAACCACACAAATTTTGTTGTTCCCTTTGGATATATCTGTGTAATTAAAAAAAATTCAGTTTGACTACATTACACAGTTACAGTCCGAGTGTAAAGTAACTTGATTATTTGCAGAAAATTTTCAATGTTATCTTGCGGTCCCAGAAAGCAAAATATATTTTCCACCCCTGACAACTATAGTATTATAATTACAATTACAACTATCCTCCATTTATTTTTGCATTTAAGATATTTTTTCATTTCCTTTTCTGTTCACACATGTCCATGGAAATGTGCAGATTTTACACACTATTTTTCAGCGAGTCTAGCTGTTATTTGGCCATTGGAAACCATTATAATATATCCTTGTTTCAGTGTTTAGTTACTGCTTGCTAGAGCATCTACTATCCAAATCAGGCACGTGCTGGGGTCTTGATAAGGATGACGAATGAGCAACGTGTGATGGGGCCCAGGCCCAGTGACGGATGGATCAAGATTGGCATGGGGGTATTACTGATCAAACATGAAACATTTCAGCTGCAAATTAAATATTTCCCCCCAAAAATTGTTGGCGAGGGGGGGGGGTAAATAAATTTTCGGACATACAATTTTTAGTAACTTTCGAATTAATGTACCGTAATTTGTTAAATTGTTCGGTAATATTTTCGTTCATTTAGATTTTTAATATCTTAATCTTGATTTTCAAAATTAAAATCTATATTTTTTATCTTTTCCAATGTTTTAAATTGAGGGGTCCGTGATGGCGGGGTCCCACAACAAGTTCTCATCGGCTCGTCCCTAGCACGTCCCTGATTCAACTGTGAGATACTAGATTTTCTGAATGCATGGATACCAGGTTTCAAGTTGCAGTACTAGTATCCTACTGGATAATGCTCTTTCTTTTAAAATTCAAGCCCTGACAGTAGTCAGCTCAATGTAGTTTAATTATTAAACTCTTGCATTATGATTTACGGCTGGACTCTGTAGTTCAAATTCCCAGTTAAATAAAAATGGCGCTTGTATAGGAGAGAACAACATTTCGCAGTAAAACAATAATAAAAAACAACGCCTTCCTGGAATTTTCATCTGCTATATTCCCTGTGAATGTTTCCTGACAGTTATAAACTGTTCAAATCACGTAGACATCTCACAGAAAAACTGCTTTTTCTTTGATTATTGCCTTGTTTTCTTGTTTATTTTTCATTATTTTGAATCAAATTCCCACCCCATTTTGCAAAATGCGAGTCCACAATTATGTTAAAAATGCTATTCAGCTGTCGTTAATCACTCCTTACTTTATGGAATTTTGTGTTTAAACGCCCCACGCACAGTTAACTACGCGATTAGTTAACTATCCGTCTAACTACGTTTTGTGCAACCATGGGCGTACCGGAAGGAAAAAATCAGGGGGGGCGGAAAGAAATTTGTCCGACTTTTCGGAATTATGCCCGACTAGTACCTAAAAAATTTTTTCCGGAAAAAATATATCGGCGACCTCCCCCCCCCCTGAATTTTCGACTAAATTTACATAATTTGTCCCAATTTTTTTTTATTACAAACCAAAATTGCCCGACTGTTGATCGAATATTGCCCGACTGCCCAAAAAACTGGGGGGGCTAAAGGCCCCCCCCCCCCCCCCCCCCCCCCCCCTTTTC